AAACCATCGACGGGGGCAACTGGTGGAGAACATGGAGCTGAAAAATAACGAAATAACAAGCAAATACATAGTGTTCGCTTTGCGTGATTTACTATTTTCCAAAATGTAGAAAAAATTCTATTCCTCGGTCTCGTTCCAGCCACGAGATCTCCAATTTTATTTTTCAAAAGGAAAATATAATCATATGACGGACATTCGCTCCAGCCATACTTTCTCAAAATGATTCCAGAAAAAGTGGCAGTTTTTTTGCAAAGGAGAGCATGGGTGGACCTCACACAAATGTTACAGTATCGATCCAGTCATATCTAGTGATATCTAGCCCTGTTTGATTATGTTGAACAGTTCTCAAAACAAGACAAGAAAGCGTCTGGAAGTGAAGATGACTGACCACGCCCAGTGTGGTCATGGTTTACAACATTTACACACGTGAAAACATCAGGAAAACGTCAAACTGGCTAGTATCTTATAAAACGTTTACTATAGCTGCGATATATCACACCTCAAGATAAATGCAGCGATCGGACAAAAGTTACTTTTCAAAGTTTATAAATACAGGCTTTTTTGCTGTTAATATACATGTCCGTGGCCAAAATTCCTTCCAAATTCTCTAGCCAAGACTAAATTATAATAGTTAGAGTCAATACATGTATAGATTTTGACCGTTTAAACGATTTTACGTTTTAAAGTTAAGTATACAGATTATCGTTGTTAAGCATCTTACATTGTCTTACCTCTACAGATTGGCGGAGTACCATTCCACCGCCCATCGAGGCAAGTGATTACAGATGAGCCATCTAAGAAATACTGATCGTCACATGTGTATGTGACACTATCTCCCGCAGAAAAATCACTTCCTCTATACGAGCCATGCTCTATGTTGGCAGGAGCCAGGCAAGTGGCTGAAAGTAGAGCGAGGATGTAGAATGAAATAACAAATTGGATCAAAAGATCGATCTTATTTACTATTCTGCTTACCTGGAATTTTCATTCATTTTAATCGCGATGGCCCATTGGGACCTAGCGAGCTGGATTTTTTTTTTTTTCGTTTATTTTAACGTTTGCTTTTTACGTGGCTCAACGGCTTCTCTTCACCACCCGCATTGATTCTAAGGTACAATAATCTTTAAATTAAAAAATGCATGTACTTTATTTTCATCTCTCAGAATTTCTCAGACCCCAACATCTCTGTCAAAAATGGGTCGAATTGTACCTTTAGCCGGGAAAGTTTACTCACAGATGTCTACATCAGCTACCCAAGCCCATATATATGTTCACTGTTCAGGCTAGAATGCAAAACTCTCTAGCAGATGGGAGAAGGATTTATTACAATTCTTTATTAGGTCCAGAGAGTTGATTCCCAAATTTTCTTTAGATTAAGACTCAAGAGTCCTCATGGGCCCGATGAGGATGAGTGAGTGGGAAGACCATTTTAATCCAGTTAATGTTACCTTCACAAATAGGAGTTGGGGAATCCCACCTTCCATCATTGCATTGACTGCTATTTGAACCTCGTAAAATAAAACCCTCGNGGCAAGTGGCTGAAAGTAGAGCGAGGATGTAGAATGAAATGACAAATTGAATCAAAAGATCGATCCTATTTACTATTCTGCTTACCTGGATTTTTCATTCATTTTAATCGCGATGGCCCGTTGGGACATAACCCAGCGAACTGGATGTTTTTTTTTTCGTTTATTTTAACGCTTGCCTCTTACGTGGCTCAACGGTACAATAATCTTTAAATTAAATAATGCTTGTACTTTATTTTCATCTCTCGGAATTTCTCAGACCCCAACATCTCTCTCAAAAATGGGTCGAATCGTACCTTTAGCCGGGATAGTTTACTCACAGATGTCTACATCAGCTACCCAAGCCCATATATATGTTCACTGTTCAGGCTAGAATGCAAAACTCTCTAGCAGATGGGAGAAGGATTTATTATAATTCTTTATTAGGTCCAGAGAGTTGGTTCCCAAATTTTCTTTAGATTGAGACTCAAGAGTCCTCATGGGCCTGATGAGGATGAGTGAGTGTGAAGACCATTTTAATCCAGTTAATGTTACCTTCACAAACAGGAGTTGGGGAATCCCACCTTCCATCATTGCATTGACTGCTATTTGAACCTCGTAAAATAAAACCCTCGTCACACCAGAACTGGACATTACTTTGGTGTTGGATGTTGTCACCGAACATAAAGCCATTTGCTGGTGTAGTGGGGGGTTGGCAGTGAGCTAAAATAAGTCAAAGAACGACAAAACAATCTGTTACACGGTGGAGACGGTATCGACGTTGACGACTTTCAGCGAGTGACACCAGATAGACGAGGAGTCCACTCGTTAGCTAAACACCCGTTACAAATCGCCCAATTCCGCTTCCCAAACTCGTTAACAATTGATCAATTTGAAACAAAGGTAGTCATAACCGTAACGGTGTTTGGACTAGCATAAATTTTTACAATTTTAATTCTCCGTTTTCTCCTTAGTTTTAGTTTCCATTAAAAAGATATATCAAACACTCGATCAGTATTTTACCACATTTCGAAACACCTAGAAACTCGTCAAAAATACTCCGCTGCGCGTCGTTGTTTTCACTCCCTTCTTTTCGTTAGGAAATATGGTAAGACACGGACTCACGTGTTTAATTTATTACATTACCAACGTGGCAATTTTGTATCGGCAGATCTTTAAAGCTTTCAAATCCTAAAACTTCTACGTGTTGCTAACTTCTAAAGCAATATCATTGTTGTCATCGTGAGAGAGTCTGTGCTCGCCGTGAGTGAAAACTATTTTTATGCCCACGAATATTGACATTTCAGGGCTTTGATCTTTAACAAGTTACTCCTAAAGCAGTGTAAAAAACTATGCTACAAGAATTCCTATAGTACAGCTGTTAATGGATCATTGATTGTCCTTTCTAGTTACCTCGGCAAACTGGAATTTGGCCAAGCCACTGTCCGTCCACGCATGTCATGAACTCAGATCCTTCCAACACATACAGTGGGTCACAAGAATATGTTACGTTTCTACCATTGCTGAAATCATTACCATCATGCGAGCCGTGAACAAGTCTAGGGGGACTGGGGCAAACATCTAGAGTACGAAAATGCAAATATTCATCTAAATCCAAAGCGGAATATATGAAATTAATGTAATTTATGAGAAAAATGTTCCAAGGTCCATTTTCAATATGTAGCAAACGATCCCATAGCCCATGCGATCACTGCAACAGGAAAGCACCTCTTTAGGGGCCATTTCGCCATCATTGAGTTCAAGCCTTCCTGAAAAGGAAAACTGGCAACCAGATTTATATTTAGCCATGTAATTCTTGAAATTCATAGCGAAAAAAAAAACCAAAAAAACAAAAAAAGAAACAGAAAAACAAAAACACCTTCACACAGCAACTACTTAAATCATTCGGCCTGTTACCTCTACGGCAACTTGGAATGTTGTTATTCCATTTACCACTGTCACAGCGTAATACACGTGGGCCTATTAACTTGTAGCCATGGTTGCAAGTAAACTCGATGATACCCTCGTTATCAAATTTGTCCGCCAATATCACTCCGTTGTCCAGCTTGGAAGGGACCTTGCAAACAGCTGAAACAAGAACACAACCTGAGTTTTAAAAACTAGCACATGACTTTCTTTTTCTCTAAAAGAGTTTAAAGTCAAAAATAAATAAAAGCCGGTTAATTTTCATATTTTTTCAAAGCAAACTAAAACCCTGGGATGTTCCAATTTAAAGTACTTTTTATTACTTTATTGTTGAAATTATCGATATCAAAATTACAATATTGTGATTATTTGCCCCACCGAGTTTTTCATCTGTCGTACACTTCGATGTTACCTTTGCATGTGGGAACTTTGTTACTCCATGTTCCGTCGAGGCAAATGATTCTGAAAGTGCCCGTCAATTTAAAATTGGCTAGGCAAGTAAACGAGACTTTCTTGCCATGCCGGAAATCCAAGCCTATTCTACGCCCGTTCAGTGGATTGCCAGGATCGGTGCAGGACTCTGAAAATTTCAAATAAATGTTTGCAAGTTCAAGGTTGTTAGCCAACTGAATGATTTAGAATGCATTTTTTTTTTTCATTTGTTTTCTCTCGCGAACAAGAATATTTCTTGAATTAGGCTTTACAAATAATTGTTTAAATCCATTCATGAGGTTCAAATATATACGAGGGCTAATTCCAAGAAATAAAGTCAAGATTTGCGTTCAGGTATAAATGTTGTAACTTACTTTTACATTGGGGCAGAGATGAACTCCAAACTCCTTTCCGACAGTCCATTGACTTGCTACCAATCAACGTGTAGCCATTATTGCACGCGAAGCTAACCGTTTGACCGTGTTCAAAATT